CAAAGCTGACACTCAAATGTTGACATCGCGTATAGTAGCTGATGCATAGCAGCTGTGTTTGTCTATATGTGTGTGTGTGTTTGTCTATGTGTGTGTGTGTGTATGTGTGTGCTTGTGTTTTTGTGTGTGTATATCTCACTCACACTCACATACATTCTCATTTACCATTTCCAGTCTATTTAATTTGCAACATTTGCAGCACAGAAAGCGTTTGCCCTAAAAGTAGGCAACACTTTTTGACAGCTGCTTTGGCCCACGCCAAGCGTCCCACACAAGCCCCCCCCCCCTTTCAGTATTACCCTTTCTCTATGCCAACATTTGCGTATACTTGTTTAGGCATTCGCAGCAATTTTGCAGAATGCCCTGAAAAGTAGGCAACACTTTTTGCACTGACTCGTGAGCTGCCCACAGAAGTAGGCAACACTTTTGGTTTGTACTCATCAAATTTCTAAACATTGAATTGCGAAGGGGGGGGGGGGGGGGAAGAGCAAGCGGCTACCACCGGGAAGGCAACAAAATGCAAATCAAATTAAGGGCATGTCCGCCCACAGATGATGCAAGCAAACAAAGCTAAGCCCCGCCCAAACTCATGTGTTTGCGCTTGTTAATTAACTGACAATGGTGTGCGTGCGAGTGTGCGCATCAGTGTGTGTATTTTTGAATGTCTGGCTACACACAAGCTCACACTTTCGCACACACACACACGCTGGGCAGGAGACAGTCAGTTGTGGCACAGATGGCCCGCCCGCAAGTGTTTGCTAATTTTATTAAACCCTCTTGCGCTTAATTAATAGAAAATGATTGCGCAAACAGACGTCGCACACACACACACACACCCATACACACAGCATGGTGGGGCTGTGGATGGCACAGCAGCTGCAAAAATATTAGCCACTATTAAAAGCTAAAGCGCAGTCGGGTTGCTTTCATCACCTGCTGCTGGTGCTCTGTCTTAACCCCGCAGCTTTAAAACTATTCAACCATAAAACGACCCACACACACTCACAGGCACACACACTGACACACACACACACACACATAGATGTCGGCGAAGCGTAAATTCATTTACCGCAGCGCAGTGAAGCCGGCAGCCAACACACAACACAAAAAGCTTTTTACACAAATGAGTTTATGGATAGTCCCAGTTCAAGCCAACAGCTCCTCCACACACCCACACACACACACACACACACACGAGGGTAGCCACACAAATTAATACATTATTTTTAAAAGATAAATTTCAAGCATGTCGTCTCACTCGCTCGCTCAATCGCTATCTCGCTCGCACACTGACTAGCAAACAATTAAATCAGTGAAATCCACACGCAGCTTTTGGCACAAACTCCCCTCCCTCCATCGCTCCTCCTCACCCCCGCATCCCCACCAAATAGCCCCCACATGATGCCGCCTGCTGGCGTCTGCCCACATAATGTTCACAACTTTTCAACTTAAATTCATTTTGTGCGCCAAAGCGCTAAAGTAAAGTGCCTGCCCATAGGGGGCGGTGAGGGGGCGAATGGATCCTCGGGAAGAGGGATGGGGGAGCGTGCGGCGAGGTCTTTGGGGTTGCTTTTGAGCCAGCCAGCCAAGTGGCATCACACATTTTTCTCGTGGTTTGTTGTAAATTTGTTTTCGTTCACTTGCAACGTTGTGACACCGCAGCAGCAGCAACAACAACAACAACAACAACAACAGCAACTCACGGTTGTAAAGCGGTCGAATGGTAAGGTAGGGGTAGGGCTGGGTGGGGTCTCAGAGGTTGGTGTGTGGGGCTTGGTAGAAAAGCTACCGAAAAGCAGCCAGAAAGCCGCAACTTTTGGATGCTGCCTTCAGCGCACGTTGTTGTTGTAAATCAGAGCCTGTGACTCTCAAGGCAGCAGCTGCCATTGTTGTTGTTATTGTTGTTGTTGTTGTTGCTGCTAAAAGCGTAGATAATAAATTAAACGCAGCACGCTTCAAGTCAAATAGCTGCGCTCCAGCCCGCCGCCACACCACAAAATGAGTAAGCAGCTATGTATATGTATGTGTAGGGGCCAGCGAGGGGCTGTCGGGGCTGTCGGGACTGTGAGGATTTATCAAAAGAATGTCTAGGGCCAGAGCTCCGATAACATTCGACTGTCACGCGCTGCTATCTATTATCGAAATTGAGACGCAGAGCTCAAAATCTAAAAAGACAACAATTACTCGAAGTCAATATCAACAGAAAAATTCATTTATATATGATGCATAAAAGAGTTTTCCCTGCCTCACTGACTGACTGACAAGAAAGCAAAAGGTGCTCAAAGTTTAGGAAAGAACGCAGCCGTATGGCGTGAGCGTCAGACTGACAAGCGAGAAGTCGCTGGTTCAAATTCTGCTGAAATAATCAGCTTATATTTCATTATTTAACTTCGTTTCATTTGCAATGAGAAGAAAGTAATAAATTTATATAAGAGTATTCTAAAGGATCTTTCATCAAATGGAATAAGTAATATATATCTGAATAGATAGAATCAGAATTAGATTAGAATCAGAATGGAAACAATTTTTCGCTATGAATTATTTCATGTTTATTTGTCGAATGATTGAGATGAACATTCAACTGAATATCAATAGATATTCAAATGCCGACTTCCCTTTTGCGTGAAATACCTTGAGCCACGCCCACTAACCAGCTGGCAACTTCTTTTGCAGACGAAATGTAACCAAAAACTTGTGCGCATAATTTATGAAGCGAGTTGGCAGAGCTTTGCTTCAAAGTGTTAAAAAAAAATTATAAATAAAAGCAACTAAAAGAAAGAAACAAAAAATAACCAAAAAAAAAGTTGCGCAAATGCTTTACTTAATAAAATGCCAAGGCACAAAGGCGTCGGGTTTGAGGTGCGGTAAAGTATGATGATGGTTGTGTATGTGTGTGTGTGAGGGGGGAGGGGGGGGGGGGGCTTCTGTTGTGTGTTTGATTGTGTTGAGGTAGGGTAGCGACACGTCAACCCTTTTGTTTCAAATTAAAATTTACATATTTTAATGTGCAAAGTTTTGTGGAGCGATGCTTACACGGCAGCTGCCCAGCAACAACAACAACAATAACAACAACAACAACAAAAACAACAATTTGCAACGAGCCAGACAAGAGAGGGAGAGGTGCGAGACGGAATGAGTAGGGCAGGAGGTACGAGAGCGAAGGCGCTCAAAAGTTGCTCCGTTTGCAAAAAGGTTGGCAGTAAAAAATCAAATTGACCTGTAAATATGATTTAAAAGGTGGCAGCAAAAACAGCAGCAGCGGCAACAACAACAATGACAACACGAAACGTGTTTAATTATCAAGTTGTAAACAACAGCAACAACAACAACAACAACAGCAGCAACAACAACAGAGACAAAGACAAAAGCTGAGTAAAAACGCGTTGCCAGCTGCCGCATTCAATTTGGTTGAGGCGTGTACGCGTGTGTGCACTTTTGTGTGTGTGTGTGCGTGTGTGTGTGTGTGTAAAGGTGTGTGTGTTGCATGCCTTCAAGCGCTGGCGTTTCAAAATTTTGTTAATTTGCCATTCTCAGCTAATGAGTGAGAGCTATGAGTGCCAGTCAAAGCAGAAGAGATAGAGAGGGCGAGAGGGAGATGGAGAGGAGCAAAGGGGCTCACAAATAGTTTGGAGCCCCAGATCCAGGGGAGGGCATTGAAATTTAAAGGGGCTCGAGCGGAGTTTGCAAATTATGCTGCTTTACTCAGATTACAAAAAAGTTACGTCTAAGCACAATTGCGAAAAATTACTGAAAAGCTAAACAAACTGTGGCACTAAATCTATTTAGCATTGACGATGGGAAGAGAGCGTGCATTTGTGTTAAACAGAGAGGAAAGAAGTGAAGAGAGTTAAATACTGCCATGAAAATGAAATTATGCCACTAAATATAGAAGAGGCAAACGAGCTGCATTAGTTTAAGCCTCATCTATATAATTAAGGGTGTGGGTAATTAGTTTTCTTGCTTATATTCTGCCCGTGCTAAATACAAATCTATCCTTATTATCTAGAACCACACGTCTTAAGTTACATTTTACATAGATATATTAATATAAATTTTAAAAAAATATACATTTTCGAAAAGAACCTTCAATATGAGCTCTACTTTCACCAAGCAGAAATACATTTGTCGAAATGTGTGAAACATCACGCAATCAAATCTTTGCAAAGTTCTTGGGAAATTGTTTTAACTTGGATTGGTTGGTAAATATTTCATAAATTTGTACAGTTGCGTGTGGCATAAGCAAAAACACCGTATAAGCAAACACTTTGTAGTTCATAAAGGGCGACTACTGTACTTCAGCTTTTTAGCATAGTCAATCAGAACGAGCTGTTTTTTAAATAGACACACATAAGTATTCTAGCTTCTATGGATATGAATGCTTTTATGGCTTCTCACGGCCTTTAAATGTTTTCTCGATACGACTTCGAATCAAATTTTCGGGAAGAAAGGGGCTGGGCGTGCTGGTAGGCGTGTCAGCCGATGTGGTTTGTAATCGCTTGTCAATTGTGCTGATGGCGACCCACAACTGGCACATGCAACTATTCACATAATCAACATTTAAGGGGCTGTTGCAAACCGGGGCGTTTCTTGGCATGTGCGTGTTTGTGTGTGTGTGTGTGTGTGTGTAAATTAACACCGTTTAACGCTAATGTAAAGCAAACAATTTGATGTATTTGCCTTGTACTGCGCGTGTGTGTGTGAGTGTGTGTAAAGTATGTACTATACAAAATAAGTATATGTCTGCGTGCGTGTGTATGCTTGTGGGTGTGTAAGCCTGTGTGTGTATCATTCTATTTGCACTTGTATGTGTATTTTTCATCAACAGTGTTTGGCGTTATGACAACGCCGCGTTGTCCACACTCCACAGACACAGACACACGCACACGCACACGCACACACATTCACATTAACATTGTCATTTACATTCACATTGGCCATCATCAACAAACATTGAGGATATGTCCTGCCCCGCCTTTTACCGTTGCCCGCCCTATGCTTACCTGCAAAGTATGCCAACATGGCGGTTAGGACGACGGATATGAATATTAAGGCGATGCTCAAGCATTTCCAGGAACATCGGTGTTGACAGCGTTTATCTATGTGAAACCTGCAAAAGAAACAAAGCAAAACATGAGTAAAAGAGACAAATTGTAAGGTGAGACAGACAGAGAGCGGAGAGAGAGAGTGAGAGAGAGATAGTGAGAGAGGGAGGGAGAGGGCGTTAAACAAACTGTGCAATGCATTTGTAATTAACAACTGGCAAACAGCAGCAGACACCATATAAAGAGAAACAAGGTGATGGCAACACAGGAAGTGAAGCTGGAATAAGATAGCCTAGAGAGGGACGATGGCTGTTAGTAACGAGATGCCGGAGTGACCACAGTGAGCCCAGCTCTGTATATACAGTGGGATACAATATAAATAATTATGTTGAGAAGGTTTCAATCGGAAATAATCGTAGGCGACCCAATATTACTCGCTTGTATCACTCGTATCTTTGGGTAGGTCAGCAAACTACATTAAATCAGTCGAGACTTTACTCGTTACTTTGGATACGTCAGTACTCTAGATTACATGCTACGCTACTTTAGAATACTTGTTACTTTAAGTGACTCGCTACTCAATTCTATAAATGTATTTGAATGTAATTCATTGATTATCAAATAGTTATTAAAAGGGAATAAGCAAAATCTCCTTAATATTACTCGCTTCCATCACTCGCTACTTTCGATGAGCAGAAACTCTAAGGTACTCGATACCCAAAATCATTTGTCAAGCTATAAATTCCGTCGTCAGAGGGTACTCGTTCATTTAAATGGGTCGCTACTCCAAACCATTTTGCTGTTTTTGTATACGCGCTACACTCAAACACGTTCGCCCATTGCTTTTATAAACAATAATCAGCTAGACTAAGGCACTCGCTACATTGCCAAACATTCGTTACTTTAAATCATTCGTCTTTCTTAATTAACTCATATGATAAGCCGCTGTCGCTACTCGTTAGTTTTAAGGCAATTGTTATCTGCTGCAGCTTCTTTAATATCGCTCTCATCTCTATCAAATACAGAGCATTACATATGCAGCGTAAACCCATGACGCTGTGTGGAGTGAGTGAAAAGTTGGTTTAGCCGTTTGACATGGCACAACGACCACAGAAACCAACGAAAGACACACTGCACACATAAACACACACACACACACACATGCACCAATGGGTTTGTCAACTGTCAACTTTTTTAATAAAGCAACGCAAAATGACACTGCCCTTGCATCACAGCTGCCTCTAGTTAATTGCATAAAAGTTGTAGAAAAGATTCTGTTTGCATGGCCTGAAAAAGGACTCCAACTACATACTTCAGAGTGGATCCTATGTAAGCAATGATGAAATTAATTAGCAGACCTAATGAGCCTTCTTGTACTTGGGGCAATTGAAATTGTGAAACAGTAGGGGAAATAATCTATTCAAATTTTCCGACTCTGTGTCTTCGCTGACAACAAGATTTAATTGAAGCGAATCAAGCAAGAAGCTGCTAAGGCACGGAGTTAAATCAACGACTGAACGAAAGAAGCATTGTGAAAACTGAAATGATATTAAAAGAGGCGCAAGAAGTGAAGTAAAAAGCATCTCATTACTTCTCAGAGAGAAGTGACAGACAGTAGCTGTGGTTAACGTTAGTGATACGATGAAAGATCAAACGATAATGCGAAGGATTTCAATATATTAAAAAAAGTGCGAGAAGCAAAGCAGGAAGTCACACGATGTTTGACTAGATGTTAACAAAATTACGTAAAAATGGTACAAGGAAATGCAAAAGACATATAAATCCAAATAGGTCGATCGAAATATGAAATGATTACGACAATCCAGAGAGAAGAAGTGAAAAGTGAAGTAATTTGAAAATTTAAAAGGGGTAAAAGAAGCCAAGAAAGAAGCGAAGCTAATGTTGAACAGCTGTTGAAATGGGCAAAGAGTGAACTGAAGCGAAAATCTGTGAGGAATCCAAGTTGGCACGAGAAACAAAGAGAGAAGCGAAGTAAAAATCGAAAAGCTTTAAAGCAAGCACGAAAAGCAAAGAGAAAAGTGAAGTGAAAAGTGTCCAAGTGGACACAAAAAGCAGCGAGAAGCGAAGTGAATATTTAAAAGCACTCAAAGTCACCACAAAAATTAAAGGGAGAAGCGAAGTGAAAATCATAGAAAAAGTAAAGAGAGAATCGATGTGAAATTCAAAAGGCTTTCAAATTGGGCAGAATACTAGAGAAGCGAAGTGAAAATGTAAAAAGTTGACATCTTTTGGGGCACAAAAAAAGAAAAAGAGAAGCGAAGTGAAGTGAATATTTACAACTTGTCGAAGGGATCATAAAATACAAAAAGATGATATGTAAGAGTGCACGGGAAGCTATACAAATTAGATAGCAGATGTTTGTAGCTCAGCGCCCAGCAACAGGAAGCCAAACAGAACCAGCGAGAAGCGAAACGATAAGTTCGCAAAATACAGTTTCGACAGCAAAGTGCATAAACAGCTGCAGGCTGACCGCCAGTCGGGCAGGCGGGCAGGCAGGCAGCTCATTTACTTCTACCCACAGCCGGGTGCACTCAATGGAGTGTAAAGCGTGTGAAAGTATTCATTTTCCAGGCCGGACGCATTGTTGACCCACCGTTTGACCCACTGTTAATGGATGAATGGATGGATGGATGGATGGATGGATGGGTGGATGCTTACCTGGATGGTGAATATGGCGAATAATGTGGTGCATGCGCTGAGTGCGAATTACGCAACGGGAATCCAGGCATAACCAATGGCTGTGAGCCGCTTATCTGGCAATGCGGACCGGCAACTCCGCTGCCCGGCGGACCGACAGACACTTGCGGCCCGCCCACTTGGCCGCCAACGCCCACACCGCCGGGCATGGTACCAGCGCCCATTGGCATGCCGACGCCGCCGCGATCGATGCCACCATGGCCGATTGTGTTGCTGCCAGTTGACATACTTTGTGGCATCTGTTGTGGGTGGCCGCCCAATCTGTAAAAAAGAAAGAGATGGCGTCAGTGTGTGTGACCATTTTAGAGAGACAGAGAGAGAGAGAGAGAGAGAGTGAGAGGCAGCGCTGCTTGTAATGCGGAAATTAAAACATGTTCAAAGTTTTTCGCTCGACAATGTAATATTTAAATCTGAGCCATATACACATATAGGAAAAATATAATCTATATATATATATTTATATATATACATATATGTATTAAAATATATATACACTATTTTTTGTGGGGCTGCTGTTGCCACGGGGCGTGGCACTTAACACAAAAGGCATTGCTATTGTTTTTTGGGCTTGTTGCTGTTATTGTTATTATTATTTTTAACGGTTAAGTGATGCGGAAATTTTAAATTAAAAAACATAAATCAATGCGTATGTGTCCGAGTGTGTGTATTCGTGTGTATGTGTGTGTGTGTGTGTGTGTGTGTGTGTGTGTGTGTCTGCGGTTGTCCTTTGTTTCATTATCGTTGCACAGCAGCCAGGCTGACATGTTGTTGTTGCTGCTGTTGTTTGCATTTTATTATCGCTCAACATTAAGCGGAAATGCAGCTACAGGCAGCGACGCCGGCAGCGACTTTGGCTGCACTGCCGCTGCCCCCGCAAATATGCAACACATTTTGCAGCTGCCGCCATTTTCACGCGCCGCCCGCAAGTATGCAACTTGTAATATTTTTTTTATTTGTAACTGCCTGCGCTGCGATTTACAAGACAAAGGACTCGAATTACCGCATGCACACACACACACACACACACACACACACACACACACACACAGGCACGCCCACAAGTCCGTTGTGTGCGCGTGTGTGTGTGTACAAGTACTTATATGCCATATAGTGTATATACAGTTGGATACATGTTTGCATTGCGTTGAGAGAGACCGCGTACTTGAAAACTGCGCACACAAAAATATGCAATTAGGTTTTTTATTTTTTTCGGGACGACATTGTTAACATTTAAAGAGCTTTAAAAATGTTACATGCTTGCACGCATATATGCAGTTAAATATCGCGCGGCGTAACTCTAGTTAGCAGACGATCTGCTTAACTAGCAATGCGTTTTTACTATGAGTGAGAGCAAATAAGTGAACATATTAAATACATTTTAATGCTTGCGTATTCCTGATCAATGCAAGAATTGTCAAATATCTTACACATCATTCTCGCTTCTCTCAAAACTGTCCATGTTAAGATTAAGAACTGTAAGTCGAACCAGCAACTATTTTTTCTTCGCCCCAATAATCGACATAGTCCTTTAAATGCAACTGGTAGGTAACTAAACCATTCTAATGGTTTTGGGACATATTTAATTTAAATTTAACTTCCAGACAATTTAAAAAGTAAGGTTAAAGTAAATTTGAAAAAGATTTCGGATTATAATTAACAAGTTTAAGTACACTAAATATTTTGATAGCACGCAAACTATTTCCAGTCTCAACTCCAGTGAAGCGATAGATATAAATTTAAGCTGTTTTCTAGCTGCTTTCTAGCTGTTTTCCTCTCTAGCACATCCAGTGCCGATATATGAGTTTGGGGGCCGACTTGCTGCTCAACTTGAAGGCCAGCAGACTGCGAAGCTCAGTGGTCTTATTGTGAAATGGAGTTGGAGGAACGCATCGGCAGGCAGTTCATTTCATATTTTATGGTTGTATTGTGTGTGTGTGTGTGCGTGTGTGTGTATGTGCTGCAAGATAATTTAACTTTCGCTGCGCTCAAAACTTATTTTTGCTTTTGTGCGCTGCCATATTTATAAGCTGACATTCCCAATTCCGTTTGGGCCCAGAGTTCGCCGAAATTAGTCAGCAAAGTGCAATTTTTATAGAATTTGTGACGCCAGTTCAGACAGTTTTATGGATGCAATCCTTATATTTATTTCGTTTTCAACTTTAATGGCTGCCGCTCTAACCCCCGCTCTTTGCCCCTCCCCTCCCGCACTCACTGAGCTTTGGCTCTCTTTTGGCGTGAATGGCGAGTGCATTTGACATATCACATTTTGGCCCGCTCGCTCGCCTGGTCGCTCGCTCGCTCGACTCTTGTCAAATTTTTGTGTGCTTTGGACGCCATTTTGGCTTTGTTATTTATGGCCATGTCAAGCGGTCGCCAGCTGGTCAAGAGCTGCGCGACCAGTGGCCCCCTCGGGCAGCCCCTGTTCCGGACAGGCATGGCCCCGAGCGTGGCCTGCATTTGACATGCGGTTGCGTGCGGGCCAAAAACTTTTTTCTTTTTCTATTTTTGTTCTTTTTTTTTTCCTTTTTGCTTTTGCTTTTGCTTTTGGGCTTTAGCAATTGGTAAGCCGGCGAAACGTTTGACCGAAAAATGTCGATTGACACGCTTAGTATTGCAAAAATCAGTTTGGGTAACAAAAATGAACCATAATGTGGCATCAAGCCTAACGCTTCCACCCTCCTCTCTGCCATGGCTGACCCCCAACTGAAACCCAGCGCTGCGCTGACCAACAATTCGGAATTTTCAAATCAACCCAAAATCAAGCTGCAAATTTACGAGTCGCCTACAAAAGTTGCCAGCGAGTAAGGCAACCAGATCAGCAAAATTTATACATGGCATACCCACACACACACACACACACACGCTGAGAGAGAGAGAGGCGCCAAGGAAGAGCAGCAGGGTCCAAATGAGTGCGAAAGCCGCTTACAACAAAATCAACGACAACAGCAGGCGACTAGTCCCTGTACGTGTGTATGTGTGGAAGATAAATGTGCTTGTGTGAGTGAGTGCTTGTGTGTGTGTGTGTGTGTGTGTTTGGGGCCAGCTTAGCAAACGCTAAGCCAGAGAGCGTTGAGCGCAAGCTGTGCCTGTGATTTATTAGCAACAATAATAGAATTAAACAATTTAAATTAAGTTGTAGCCGAAAACCATAAACAGTCTGCCAAAGGAGGCACCACACAGTGCTGTATGGGGGGAGGCGCCACCAACTGCACGCAACGGGGCGTACCACAAAAAACAACAAAGATACAAACAAACAAAAAACAAGAGAAAAATAAAAACACATTTGCTGTGCACTTTTTTGTAGTGTATGCGGAAAAAAATATACCACTTTTTGTTGGCTTTACAACATTTTGTTCCTTTTTTTATATTCGGAGTTTTTAAGGGATTTGGCTTTTGTTGACCTCAACGAACTAAGCCTAGAGCTGAGCTATCGCTGTGAAATTTGGTATGGACTAGCAGTGCAAGTGGTTTTAATTAAGAAACGACCAAACAGTTTGCAGACAACTTAAAAAAAAAAAAAGAAATCCACAGATTCTGATATATGCCGCGTTTTATGCCTCTCTGAGCTATCACTCTGCAGAGCTGGCAGGATCAATGCTGAGTACTTATGGGTTGAACACCTTAAATATTTTCTAGACTTCATGAGTTGCTGTGAGCTTACCTTGGAACGAAACTAACATAAGGAAATTTAGTATACGCTACGTTAAGGCTAGAGAGCTTAAGAAAATCTCAACAATTTATGGATATTTGCAAGAGTTTTCGAGATTTTAATATGCGACTAAGTAAAACGAGTCTGCAGCCAGGCTAACGACATGAAGTGTGGCACGAGCTACTCCTTTTTCGAACAGCCGTTAATTAACTACACATTTTTCAGTTACTTTTATTAGCTCTTTAGTTAATAAATCTTTGGCATGTCCAGTGTGACCAGCCATGAAATTAGAGCAACTGCCATGGGGCAAAGGGCAATGCGCATTCGGCGCAGCTCAGCTGCATTTGCCCAAAGCTTGACCAGCTGTGGGCGACGATGGATCCACACCAAATGTTTGTTGCCAGAGGTAGTTAATGGCGGGGGCGTCAAGTGGTGCTGTGGGGAGCAGTGAAGGGCTACATGTGTACTCTTGCGTCGCCAGGAGGGCATTACAAATGCTTCCTGCGCATAAATGTGGCAGCAGTGGTGAGTCCAGCGTGTGTGTGTGTGTGTGTGTATATATTGCTGCCATTATTACTTGCTTTTGTTGTTGCTGACAAGCCCCCACACAGTTTGACCCCAAATGAGGCGCCCTCGTCCCCGCTTGACAGCCATCAGGTCGCAGTCCACTCGACGGGGCAGCAGCAACAAAAAGCAAAAAATGTTGCATACTTTTGAGTGCAGCGCAACGCATTTTGCAACTTCAAATGGCATTTGTAGTTGTTGTTGCATGTTGTTGTTGTTGCCATGGCAAATTGTTGTTACTGTTGTTGTTTTAAGTGTGCATTTAATTTAATTTTTATTTAAATGCAACGCATAAAAAATTAAAGCCCTTTGCAGCGGAATTGTAATTGTTGTTGTTGTTGTTGTTGTTGTAACTACTGAACAACAACAATTACTGCTGCAAAAGTCAGCTAGAAAATCACTCGAAACGCTACATTTGGCCTTTTCGAATTGTTGAGGCTTAGATTTAACATAGATGTAGATAGCATCTGGCTTGGAGGTACCTTCTCACTTGTATTGTCTAGACTCTAGATTGCATCTGGTATCTACTCGATGCAGTATATATTCATAGTTCGATAGTTACATATTCATTATGTGCATTGTTTCATCTATCTTTTGTCATATTCAATCTCTGCTATGTTTTACTTCATGCATACTCTATCTTCTAATAAAATCCGGTTCTTAAATGTATCATAAAATATTCTATATCTTTAAATTATATCTTGCATCTCGTATCTTCTATCCGGTAACCTTTATCTACCTGATATATATGTATATATCTTGGCAGACTCTGTGTTTTATATTTGTCACTAATTTTTTTTAAGATATATTTGATATTTTTATATCTCACATATACTTTTCTCTAATGCTTCTTTTCTTCAGTATACATACATTCCATATCTTATATCTCGCAACCTTTATCTGATATCATCAGACTATATCTCGTATCTTTTAGTTTTCATCTAGTAAGCTGTATCTAAAGTAATTTTTGGACATTTCTTATCTTCCATCTTGTAACAATTGCTCTTAATATCATTTATTTTTATCAGTTGTGGACATGTTTTGCTTG